ATTTCCTAAAAGGAGAACTAGGGGGGGGGGGGGGGGGGAGGGTGCTTTTCACTCACCTCATAGTTCGAGCTGAGACTGTCACGCGTCGGCTCAGTAGATCGGGAAGTGAGCGAACACATAGCGTCGCTCGCTCACTTCTCAATCATGTCCCTGCAGAGAGCCGTGAGCCTTGGGCTAGAAAATGAACCGATTGCTCAGGCGAGGGGTGTTGGCTTAAAAAGTGAGGTTGGTTGACAGGCTGGGTGTGGACTGTCCGTGTAGGTGCTGAATCAGTTAGCAGGTGAGATGCACCTCCTAGGCTGTCAGGGACCAGAGCACCTCCCGGTGGCACTTTGGAGCTGGAACCTGATCCTGCAGTTCCAGTGCTCGCCTGCAGGTGTCTCTCAGCAATTAGGCACCACCTGGTGCTGATCTGGGAGGGTATTTAAAGGAGAACTATATGGGGGGGGGGGGGTGTTGCCATTGGTATTCCCGAGTTAACAAAGCGGTAACCACCGAGCCACACTCGGGAATACAAATGTCCAAGGACGTGTAGCACACCTTACCGGACTTCCCATGTGGAAAAATGGTTGCTCGCAATGACTGCGGATGGCGCCGTATCAAGTAAAATCGTTGTATATAGATGTCATCAGCACTCCAAATATGACAGAATACGTCAAGGTTTTAGCGAATCTTCATTTTTATTTTTGAAGTCACTTAAAGTGCAAACAAGCTCTTTCGGGGCCGCACAGGGTCCCCTTCATCAGGCTTAAAGTGAACATTTTGGCGGAGCCGGCGGGAAGTTTAAAAGTGAAACTAAAAAATAATAATTTTAAAATAGAGAAAATAAAGAAGAAAAAAAAAAATCATACCGCCAGTGAAACGCGCGTTTCATTGAACGAAAAACACGAGCTGAAAAACGAGCTGAAAAAACCCGCTCAGGCGTGAACCCAGCCTAAATCCGGCCCTGGGTGGTGGCCTCGGTTTTTTTTTATGGAGTTTACAGTAAAAAGTTTAGTGCTGATGTTACCATCACCAATAAACTTTTTGTACATCACAATCACGTCCCCCCTTAATCGCCTCACTTCCGGCGTGAACAAGTTTACATTTAGCACCCTCGTCTTATAGCGTTGGTCCTCCAGCCCCTTAATTGGTTTAGTTGCTCTTCTCTGGACTCTCTCCAGCTCCAGGACATCCTTCCTGTGGATTGGTGACCAAAACTGGACCGCGTACTCCAGATGAGCCGGTGATGTATCGAAAGTGCGAACTTATCGAGTTGTGGGACCGCATGACTTCCGGTTTTCTCCGAACTACGAGGTTTGCACACAAAACGTGTTGTGCACGAGCGCCATCCACGGCATTGCCCTATACACATAGACCACAGCAATAAAGTAATAAAATGATGTAGGATGACAGTAAGCCAGCACGTTCTTTATCTCAGGTGCCCCACTCAAGCGGCGGCCATATTGGGTGGGGCACCGGAGATAAAGAACGTGCTGGATTAGTGTCATCCTACATCATTTTATTACTTTATTGCTGTGGTCTATGTGTATAGGGCAATGCCGCGGATGGCGCTCGTGCACAACATGTTTTGTGTGCAAACCTCGTAGTTTGGAGGAAACCGGAAGTCATGCGGTCCCACAACTCGATAAGTTCGCACTTTCGATCGATCACCGGAACCATCGATCTATAAATTGGCAAAAATGGCAAAATTATTGCCAAAATTCAGGGCTAATATCTACTAAATAGTCTTTTTTTTGTGTGGTTGTGAGTGTGAAGGAGACATGTTGGTTGCATACTGGCACTCTCAATTGCTTACAAAAAAACGTCCGGCACACTAGGCTGAGTAGGTTGCCTAGAAATAATGACAGATTCCTCCTCGTACTCCTCGGAGTCCACCAGAACAGACAAACGCGGCAGGTGCACGTGATCCAGAAATCAGGAAAGGGACTTGCACTGCAGAGAGCCAGACATGAATGCGGGAAAGGGGAACAAAAACAAATGCAGATGGGCCTATTGGAACTATAAAGGAAGCCGAGCTGTAGCCAAGTACGACAAGCTGCTGGTCCAGTAACAGGGGGGCATTGAGACCTTCCCTACACTCCGTGCTGCTGAACAGGAACATTGTGGACAAGGAACAAAATTGGGTTTAAAAATGTAGAAGCTATCGGGCTGTCGTTAGTCTGACGCATCGTTTGGCTCTCTGTAGTCTCTCCTTGGCTTTGCTTGTTGCTTGCTGCTGCGGGCAGTAGCTCTGTCCACAGAATACTGGGTCAGCTTGAAGGTTCTCTATCTGCAAGGGCTGCTCTTTATTCTGGAGTCTGCGAGTCTGTGGATGTCCTGTGCCCTGACCCTCTCCCAAAGTTACCGAATAGATTCCCTGCCAGCAAAAAGATCAACAGCGTGGTTGTATGCAGCCTGCAGGTCTGCCATTCTCCATTGGGGGGTTTGGCGGGTAGGGCGGCGCTTTGAGGAACCTGGCCTTGGGGCAGCAGAAAGACTAAGGCCTGGTTCCCATCTGGGCGTTTTACAGCGCGTAGGAACCTTGGGGGCAGCTATGGATCTGTGTACCCTAGACAGGCCAGGAGGGCCAACTGAGCCAGTGGCTATAGACATGAAAGCAGTGCTAGCTTGTATTCGGGTATTCAGGGCCGGATTTCCCTCCAGGTCAACCGAGGCCCGGCCTCAGGGCAGCAGGGAGTAGAGGGGCAGCAGGGGTGTGGAATTCTTATCTCCCGATGCCCGGGACATGAAGTTCCGGGCCCGGGCGGGTAGTTGTTTTCTACATTTAGCCATGCTTTGGACAAGCAGAGCTGAATGTAGAGCGGGGAAGCCGCCGCTTGTTTTGTATGCAGG